GATTTCACACGATATGGTTGTGTTTTTTTGATTTCTCAAAAATTAGAAGCTTTAGAATGATTTCAGAAATTTAAAAACTTAGTTGAGAATTAATTAGATAAAAAGATAAAAGTTCTACAAATCGATCGAGGTTGTGAATATTTATCTGATTAGTTCAGAAATTTTTGTAATGAAATGGGAATAGAACATTAATTAACTGTTCCAAGAACTCCGCAACAAAATGGTGTTGCAGAACGAAGAAACAGAATCCTACTTGAGATAGTGAGGTCTATGATGGCACAAGCAAACTTGCCCATCACCTTTTGGGGTGATGCCTTATTGACTACCACATATATCCTCAATCGAGTACCCTCCAAATCTATTACTACTACACCATATGAGTTATGGACAAATCGGAAATCCGATTTGAGTCTCCTGAAGCCATGGGGATGTGTTGCCTATGTTCATGATCCTTCCCATAAATATAGAAAATTAGGTCCAAGGGGGAAGAAATGTATATTCATAAGATACTCAGAACATTCAAAGGGATACATCTTCATAGGAGAATAAGAAAGTTGTAGCATCATTGAGTTTGAATCACGAGATGTCACATTCTTAGAAACCGATTTTCCTAAGAAGGGCGAGATAAGTCAAGACTTGTTTCTAAATGAAACACAAGAACAAGGCAATTCTACTGCCGAAAACTAGTTGGTTATACTACATCCCAGTGGGAGCGCTATGGAAGTTGATGAATCAGTTTCAGATTCTCCATCATTCCCCACTGACGATCTAACTATGATAGCTGGTCCAAGTGGGAGTAACACCAATCAATCTCCAATATGTCGATCAAATAGGAAACAAGTTCCATGTCGACGATTTGAGATTGACGGGGGAATTTTTCTAGTTACTCCACAAGATGAAGAAGAGCCAAGGAATATAAATAAGACTCTCAATTGCCCTTTTAAGGAGAAATGGATGAAAGCAATGGAAGAAGAATTAAAGTCTATGAAATCAAACCAAGTATGGGAATTGGTTGATTTATCGAAAAGACGCAAAGCCATTAGGAACAAATGGGTTCTCAAAATCAAGCATAAAGCTAATGGTAGTATTGAAAGATATAAAGCTCGCTTAGTCGCGAAGGGGTTTACCTCAATCCGACTTATTCTAGCTATAGTTGCTAGCATGGATCTTGAATTGCCTCAAATGGATGTAAAGACTGCTTTTCTCAATGGAGAATTACAAGAAGAAATCTACATGGAACAACTAATAGGTTTTATTAGAGAATGTCAAGAACACAAAGTGTGCAGACTTTTAAAGTCAATTTATGGCCTCAAGCAGTCCTCCAGGCAGTGGTATATTTGATTTCATAATACGATAATGTCATATGATTTCAAAATGATAGATGAAGATCACTGTGTATATACAAAGAGATCCAATAACAAATTTGTTATATTGTCATTATATGTTGATGATATACTTATAGCTAGAAATGATAAAGGATTTGTCAATGAAATCAAAGGATGGTTATCATCTCATTTTGAGATGAAAGATATGGGTGAAGCTGCATATATTCTTGGAGTCAAAATTTCAAGAGATTGCTCAAGAAAATTAGTATTTCTTTCACAAGAACTATACATTAAGAAAATTCTTGAACGATTTCATATGCAAGATTGTAAACCCATAGACAACCCTATCGCGAAAGGCGAGACTTTGAGTTATAAAGTGTATCCGAAGACTCCACAAGAAAAGGAACAAATGAAGAATGTTCCTTATATAAGTGTTGCTGGAAGTCTTATGTATGCCATGATGTGCACAAGAGCAGACATCTGTTATGTTGTTGGGTTGGTAAGCAGATATCAGTCCGACCCAGGACAAGCACATTGGAAAGCAGTGAAGAGAATCTTAAGATATCTAAAAGGAACAGCTGATTACTCATTATGTTATCAATGAAATGATTTACACTTGAGAGGCTACACCGATGCTGATTGGGGAGGAGATTTAGATGAAAGGAAATCTACTTCCAGATATATTTTCTTACTAAATGGTAGGGTCATATCTTGGAGCAATAAGAAACAATCATGTATAGCCTTATATACAATGGATGCTGAGTTTGTAGCATTTTTAGCTGTAGTGCAAGAAGCCGTTTGGTTGAGACAGTTCTTGAATCATCTGGGAATAATTAATGTTGCTATTGAATCAGTGAGAGTAAACTGTGATAGTCAAGAAACAATAGCATACACTAATGATCCCAAATATCATGGTAAAATGAAACACATAGATATCAAATATAATTTTGTGCGAGACTTGATGGCACAAAAGGAGGTGAACATGAGTACATATCTACGCATGACATGGTTATGGATCCATTTACAAAGCTTATACCAAGAGATACTTTCAATAGACATGTTAGATCTCTATGCTTATGTAGATGTTGAATATACTCATACTTTGAGATTTCCCAAAATTGTTCACGTTTGTCTTATCAATATTAAATAACAATATTGTCAATGCTCAATTTTGATTATTATGGAACATGAAGGAGTATATATATTACGTAAATATTATATATGTTTATTTTGAAAAGCATGTTGGACAGTTAAAAGACTGGTCTTCTCACACAGGCAATCACCTCCATTACTTCGTAGGAATGAAGATGAGACGATTTTAAGCTAATTATCTAGGTGATAATAGAGAGCCAAGCTTAAAATATTTAACGTCGCCTAAATAAAAATTAGAATTAAAATCATGTCATATTGAAATATGACCATAAGTGATAAATGATCACTTTATCTGTCTAATTGTCAGATTAGAGTTCTGATGAATTAAAAGTATGTAAAGTGAACTCAAGTTAGACATTAGGTATGTCTGAACTAAAATCTGTACGACATTTACAAGAAAAGAGACATGCACTCCATGGGAAAGGAGGAAATGCTGTAGTATGTGATTTATACAACATGTGCAAAATATTGACCAAGGGGGTAATGAAAGTCAAAATCTCAATTTTAACATTGTGTGAGACCTTGAGACTTTAAGAATAAAATCTCATAAAATACCTTTATTACTCTATTTTGTTTCTTGAAAACCTTATTTAATGATTGCTATCTTAGAGTATTGCCAAAAGATTAAGATAAATTCAATCTGCTAGGACATTTCTAGAAAAGCAAGTTAAATGAAAGTTGCAAGAATCAAGAAAAGATGAAGATTACAATTTTGGATTATCACACTATAATCATGTGTATTCATTGGTTGACCAATTATGTTTTACTTTTATGTAAAGAGAAAACATAATTATGAATACAACTGATGTTTATTATAAATGAGATTGTTAGAAAAAAAGATGTGATAAGTAATCTAGGATATTGCATACAACATACAACCTAAGTTTCACAATTCGAGAAGTTATATATTCCTAACAGATATATGACTAATGTGCTCTCGAAGTATGCATGGTCACACGACATATTTACTAAAGTATGAACCTTGAAGAAGCACAAAGAGAAATAGTCCCATCATGTGTGAGTGGGAGATATTGGATATGGGTGAGACACCCATGATGGAACCCACCCAAAGTACGTTGCAAGTGGAAACTGCCAAAGGATATTTTCACCTAAAATTGCAGGCAACTGCCGCCCATATATAAGTGAAGAAATTCCTTTTAGAATTTCTTTTTCAAACTTTCTAAAAAATATTTTGAAAGGAAAAACACACATATGGTGGTTCTCTCTCAAGATACAATTTTGCTTCAGAGTTAAAAAGTAAAGGTATTTATGTTGTAAACTTCATTGTAATTCATTTAAGTAAAATGTAATTGCAATGGGTGACTATTAATATGATCTTGGATAGCTTAGAATATTTGTTATTCTGAGTTTTTTTAGTTTTTTCCAAAAGACTGGATTCCGGCGAATTGGGTGCGAATCCTTGCTGTGAAGAGCAAGCTCAATCACCCGTAGAAAACTACCGCAGCCATTAAAACCGCCACACAATCAACCTACAACCACTACAAATCTCAAATAATCACAACCCAATTTTGATCGTTAATCAATCATCAAAATAGCAATAATCCACAAAGAAATTGCAAAATCTCAAGGGCAGCTCACAGTTACGTAAAGGAGATATTGCTTTGTTCGTTTTCTTTTTCTGTAGAGAATATTAAAAAGAGATGAAAGATGATGGAGGTGAGGCGCTAGGGTTGTTGGAGGTTGTTAGATTTTGGGGCTGCCATGACTAATCAAGAAGAAACCCTAGATTAAGGAGAAACGAGAGAAAAAAAACTTAGGCTTTATAAAATTGATTAGAGAAGAAACCCTACAGTAACCCAGATTTCAAATTTCAAATTTTGATTTTTTATGCTTAATGTAAATTGACCATCGTAGCCTTACTTATAAAAGACTTTTGACCATTCTACCCTTCTTCAAAAGAAAATTTACTAACAGATCAGGTTTGTGGGTAAGAAAATGTCATTTTAAACTTTTTTGGGTGAAAAAGTGTCATTAAACCAAACCTTGGATGGAGTTAACCAAACCCGTTCAGTTAGAGTTGATATTCATAAATTCACTAATCAAATAAATTACTTTTTAGTGGGTTTATTCTATTTTTTGATTTAAGACAAGTCCGTCTAAACGGGTTGACTCTTTAGTCATAATGAATTTTAGTTTTATTTATTTATTTATTTTACCTACCGAAATTTTTTTTTAATTATATTTTCAAATTTTTCCCATTAAATTTTGGATGCTAATTTTCAAGACAAATCTAAAACTAAAACTCCGCTGAATTCCCAAAAACACCCTAGAAATTGATCCAAAATCTCCAAACTAACCCCAACCACATTGGCAGTCTTTTTTCCTCATACGTCACAGTCGTTTAGTTGAGCACGCTGCTCTGACCAAACATCCAGCAGCTTTCATCCACGTGGACATCCTGACCATTCCATTATGAGTCAGAACTCTCACTGATTGACACGTGTCACCCCACAGATCCCTGCAGAAGTCTCCGCAGTTTCTAAAAGTTTCAAAGACTTGAACTTTCAAAACCTGTGTCCCTCCCTTTTAACCCTCACACATCTTTCTCTCTCTTAGGGTTTCTGCTACTCACCAAGCTCGCAGGCAATTCATGGGTAATTTTTATCTGTTTCTGGGTTGCTTTTATATTTGTTTTTTTGTTGTACTCTTTTCTTGGGTTGTTGAGAGCAACAACAGTGAAATAAATGACTTTTTTTCATGTTGGTTTCATCTTCAATTCTTACTTTTTATGTTAATTTTGTTTTAAGTTTGTTACTTTAAGCTTGAATGATGATGCTATGTGTGTTCTTGGCAACTTGGTGTGGCATTGTTGTCTTTGTTTGACCGGATCAGTGAAGTCTTCATGCGTGATCTTGTTTGAATGCTCTGCATTGTTTTTGATTTTGTGGTCAGTAACTTTAGGTGCAATGTAATTAGCAAGAAAAATTTTGTTTTTTCTTTTTATGTTCGTTTTTTCTTTGGATGGTATATACTAGAATTCGGTTCAAGACTATTTGTATACATATGCTACTTGTAATCAATGTATCTTATAGACATGTATATTTTAGTTAATATACACTTGCACGTCTTCTTGCATGAGCCGCTTTCACAAATTTAGAATCAGCTTTTTCCCTACTTTAGTGGAGACAGTTTAAATTGTATGATAATAAGGTTAATTTGTTGGGTTGTTGAGCAAACCGGTGGAAAAAAAAAAGGTCATAAAAACTAGAACTTTTCTTACTACTATTAATAAAATAAAAAAAATCTCAAAACTGGAATGAGTTCAACTAAGTAACCTTTACTTGTCATTCAAATGGTATATCCCCTCAAATGGTCACAATGTTGAAACTATGTCTTACAGTTATATTTTGTGCTAGAAGTACTTTTATAGATTCTTTGGTCAACAACTTTTTATATTGTGTGAACACCCCTATTTTTTCTGTCTTTGTTAAATTAAGTGAGAAAGTAGTTACCATTGTACATCTTCCGTGGATTTCCACCAACAATATTCTTTTACCTTCCAGACTGAAAATCTTGTATTTCTGTAGGCTTTGAGGCTTTTCCTCAATGTCCAATCGCATGGTATATGTTGTCTTAAAGTATTAATGTTGGGTATACAAAGATCTCTTAATGGCTTATTCAAGATTTTTTGGCCATTTGTTTAATGGGGAGGGAGCTACAAGTAATGAGTTACCAAATGGTCTCCCAAAAAAATTATCCATAATATATGTTATGTATAGTTAGGAAAAAATAAAGCTGCATAAAAAAGGTAGAGTAGAAAAATAGTGGTTGAGGTGGTTGAGTGAGTTGCTAATTATTTAGTCAATTCTCTAGTGATATCTCATGGGTGGTTGGGTGGGTTGCTAATCACTTGGTCAATTTTATTGTGATATCTTATGGTCAAAGTGGCCAATGAAATTGATTTAAGCTTGAAATTAGACATTTGGATTTGCTTGGGGAAGAGAGATGGGATAGTAGTCTTACAGAAAAGTAATTGGCTGAGAGAGATAGTACATAGAAACAAAGGAGCACTTGATGAGAATGGATGGATGTAAACTCCTATGGACATACCCACGATGTGATGCTAAAAGGGACAAGCTTTATGAGAAATGGCTTGTCAATAAAAATTGGAAAAACTTTACGTTATAACTAAGCAGTTTCTAGTCAAGATGAATGCTGATATACTCGAAAGGGAGTTAGATGCTGATTCTTAGTTTATGTTATTTATTATATTTTGAATAAAAAAATGCAGCACAGAAAGGTGCTGGCTATCCTGTTTAGTAATTTTTATGTACAAAAGATCTCTGTTCTTTTCATAGTGTTTTAGGCTAGGAAGATGTGAGATGGAGCTGATGATGTCATCCTTAATGATTTTTTGAACATCACTGACTAATTGTATTATTAGAGGTGATTTTTGGCTCATATTTGAACATAAAGAATTCATTTGTGCTCTGTAAAGTTGTTATTTACTAAAATTAAGACATAAAGTAATCCAATTTGCAGCTTCTTATATCTGGACACTACATTTATGTTTTAAAGAAGTGATGATCTAGGGTTCTGCGAGATGTTTACATGATGTCAAAATAACTTATTTTTTATGTTTTTTGCATCTAGCAAAACATGTTACCAGTTATGTAGTCCTTGATTTAGAGTCTTGTCACAAGTATCTATGTATAAGTAAAAGATTCTAAGGTTAGCTGATTCACTGGTGAATGTTTCACTTAGGTCACTGTTAGTTGTGGGGTGTGAAACTTCTGACATATGTGAAAGCTATGATGTCTCAGTCTGACTTTCTGGGTACCATTGCAGACTCTTAAACTTTGAGATATAGCTTTATGAAGATCTGTTTTGTCCATTGCAAGGAAGATAAATTTAGGGTAGGATTGTTTTCCCTATGGTTAAGCACAGTATGATGAGCATCTATCAAGGTGAATTATCATGGTAATACGTTTATGGCCCAAGCCATCAAAAAGTAGCAGGTAATGAGGGGGAAATCTTTTAGTTTTTGTATGTAGAATGTTTTTTTAGTGACATAAATCTCAGTCCTTGTCTAAGTCTTTATCTCTATCTCTAGTCAAGCTTGAAGTTTTTTGTTTTATGATCTTTAGCCTTTGTTTTATCTGGCAATAGTTGTAGCTATTATACATTTGTTTTATTTTCATGTCCCCAATCCTTCATTCTATGCTCTTTTTCAAGTAGTAGTTGGGTGGCACTAACCTAGATACAGCTATTACTTTCAGTATATTTGATACTTAAGTAGCCAGCTTTTGACATTTTTACCGAAAATTAAAGATGTTTTCTTAGTCACGATAGCATGCTGGATTAATTTCTTTCTTCGACATGCAGACTCCTTAAAGTGACTTGATCAATAAATTTATTAATATTTTGCAAATGAACATTGGTTGGGTATTTTTGACCAGCTTTGATATCAATGCTATAATTTTAGTTAGCAAAGCTTAATAATTAGATTGATGCAAGGACTTTGGATTGCAGTATAATTCATCGGACAAGTAAGGTTCTATGTATATATTAAACATGATTTTACTATGCTAATTACCTAACCAAAGGCATGTTGTAGTTGGTCATAATCTTTTGAGCCAATTCTAGCTTATTTAACTGTCTTCCAAATTTGTGTCAGTTTCTGAGCATGAAAACTTTCAAAACCTTATAACATTGTTAAATGTATATGGATTTAATTGTTCTATTAAATCAGCATGAAACATTTTTGTTCTTTAGATGTCAACTTACATTTTTTCCTCTCTTAACTTTGGATTGACTCCAAACATGGATCTTGTTATGCTTATTATTTGCAGTAATGTGATAAGACAATAGCTGGACTAGAGGGAAAAGAAATTTTGTAGTTGGCCATGGATCAATCTGATCAAAATCAACAGCATCATCACCATCAGCAGCAGCCTGTGATGGGAGTTGCTGGTGGTGGTCAGATGGTGTATCCTACGCCTCCCTACCAAACTGCTCCCATGGTGGCCTCGGGTACACCTGCTGTAGCTGTGCCTTCCCCGACACAGCCCCCCGCTACCTTCTCAAATTCTTCACACCAGCTTGCCTTCCAACAAGCCCAGCACTTCCACCACCAACAACAGCAGCAGCAACAACAGCAGCTTCAAATGTTCTGGTCCAACCAAATGCAAGAAATTGAGCAAACTATTGATTTCAAGAACCATAGCCTCCCACTTGCTCGGATCAAGAAAATAATGAAAGCTGATGAAGATGTTAGAATGATTTCAGCGGAGGCTCCTGTCATATTTGCAAAGGCTTGTGAGATGTTTATTCTGGAGCTGACCTTGCGCTCTTGGATCCACACAGAAGAGAATAAAAGGAGGACGTTGCAAAAGAATGATATTGCAGCTGCCATATCAAGGACTGATGTTTTTGATTTCTTGGTGGACATCATTCCAAGAGATGAATTGAAAGAGGAGGGACTTGGGGTCACTAAGGCTACAATTCCTGTTGTAGGTTCTCCTGCTGACATGCCTTTATACTATGTCCAACCACAGCATCCTGTTGGACCTACAGGGATGATCATGGGAAAGCCAGTCGATCAAGCTGCACTCTACGCGGCCCAACAGCCTCGACCTCCTGTGGCATTTATGCCATGGCCCCAGGGTCAACCACCGCAGCAGCAACCTCAGCAGTCTCAACAGCAACCAACTGATTCTTAAAGTTTGATGTCAGGTAATCTAAGGTGTGTCTTAGTAGAGCTTTTAAATATCAGGGATGGATTCTAGTTGTGGTAGCCATTAGCGTTAGTTGACAGTTGTAATATCTATCAAACTCTGTAGATGATGATGCCGATTTCATAGTGGCAGCTGGATCATGTATTGGCTAGTATCTCTTCTTTTGATTGAAATTGTGTGTGAAGGCTATTGTTTAAATTTCTATTTGCCTCAGGCTTGTTCCGATTATCATCTATTTCGTTCAGGTGAAGATCAAATAAGGAGAAGTCGCAATAAACAAGCAATAATGAATCAAGAAAACAAAACCCCAAATGAATTATTGAACTTCATCTACGATGCAAACAAACTAAGCTACAAATAACAAGAATTTCATCTTTCGTTCATTCATTAATTTAATCTTCATCAACACCTTCGAAAGCCCACTCATACTCCTTCCTCACAGCTTCTTCTTCCTGCGGCGTGAAGTCATTCTCAATCCCGAAAAACGCTCTCACATACTCCACGCTCTTATTCTTAAGCCTATTCGCGATCGTCTCCGTCAAAAAATCCAACATTTCTTTGATATTTAAATAATTGGCCGCCAGAATCAGCTCCTTCAACTGCTCGTTACTCTTCTCTTTAATATACTCCGCATTAAACTTCTTCACCTCGTCTTTCCCCGCCGCGCCCTTGGCGCGAAACTCCACGTGGGCCTTGCAGAACTCGATGATCCCCGCGAGTGGCTCCGCCGAAACATTCGGCAGCGGCACCACCGTGTCGTCCGCCGCGTCCTCATTCTCGTCGAAGAACGATTTGACGATCTCGAACTCCATCGCGACGGGGTCGTCCACCTCGAAGAGCTGGCCGTCAGCGGTCTTGAGGAAAATGATTCGCTTGGCTTGGCCCAATTTCGACATGTCGTTGGTTGGTTGTGTTGTCGGCTTGTTGAAAGAGTCTGGGTTGAGTTGTCGTGTAATTGTGGGTAGTGAGAGAAGATAATTATAGTGAAAATAAATCGAATTTATAGGCAACATTTATTAATTGGTTTTGGGTAAGAATCTCTTTTTGGACGAAAGTGAGGGCTATGGTTTCTTGTTGCGTAAGATTTGTCATCTAATTTTAGGATCAATGAAGACGATGACAATGGCAATCTAAAGCTCCTATTTTGGATGCTAAATTGTATTATTATTATATTATTTTTTTAAATTTTTTTTATCAACTTGAATTTGAGATAGTTTTCGAAATCTGTGAAAGACTGAATTTGCTATCTCTTGTGTAGGGGTGAGCGGTTCCGGGTACCCTGTATTTTCCGGGGAACCGGAACCGGAACTGCACTGCAGGTTCCCAAAAAAAGGAACCGAACCGGAACCGCACAGTGCTGGTTATTCAATTCAAGGAACCGGAACCTAAAATACAGTTTCCGTTCCTTTCCAGGGTACCCTGTAAAAATCAATTACCCCCCTTTAGTTTAAAAAATAACAAAACACCTTATAAGTTTACAAATCAACCCCTAACAAATTTTCATTATTCATTCATTTGTGTCCAATGTAACTCATAACCTGTAATCTCTAAGCAACACTTGAATTGTTAATCATTTAATTAAGTATTGTAATATTGTTTTATAGAATGTTATAATTAATTAATCTCATACCAATAATTTAAATAATGTATAATAATTTGATTAAGTATTGTGTAATTAGTAAATTACTTGTTTATAATATAATGTCATAGTCAATTAAGTAATCATTTAATTATGTAATGTTATATTAATTATATGATTATACTATAATAGTATAATGTAATGTTATAATGAATTAAGTATCATCTGTAAATTTATATTTATATTATAATTATTAAATTCAAATCATTTAATTATATACTAAGGTTTATAATGGAATATTAAATTGATTAAGTAATCATATTACAATATATAAAGTAATGTTATAATTAATTAATTTTTTAATCGTTTACTTAGTAATGTAATAGTATAGTAAATTACTGATGTTTATAATGTAATGTTATAAATTCATAACTAATTAAGTAATTATGTAATCATTTAACTATAGAATGCTATAATTAAGTAAGTGATCATATATATGTAATATAATAATATTATATTTAATTGAGTATTATTACTATAATGTATGTTTAATTATGTTTATAATGAAATGTTTATAAGATAATGTTATAATTAATTAATTTCTTATCATTTAATTAAGTATTGTGCTAATGTTTATGATGTAAATTAGTAATTACTAATGTTTAAAACATAATATCATAACTCATAATCTTAAGTATCATTTAATTATGTAATGTTATATTAATTATATGATCAATCTATAATAGTATAATGTAATGTTATAATGAATTAAGTAATCATACTATAAATCTATAATTTAATATTATAATTATAATTTCAAATCATTTGATTAATATACTAGTTTATAATAGAATGTTATAATTGATTAAGTAATCATATTACAAATATATAGTAATGTTATAATTAATTAAAATTTTAATCGTTAAATAAGTAATGTATAATATAGTAATTTAGTAAATTACTAATGTTTATAATGTAATGTTATAAATTCATAACTATTATGTAATTATGTAATCATTAACTATGTAATGCTATAATTAAGTAAGTAATCATAATATATAATGTAATATAATATATTATAATTTAATTGAGTAATTATTAACTATAATGTAATGCTTAATTAATTTTATAAGGTAATGTTATAATTATTAAATTTCTTCATTTAATTAAATATGTGCTAATGTTTATGTAGTAAATTAGTAATTACTAATGTTTAAAACATAATATCATAACTCATATCAATTAAGTAATCATTTAATTATTTGTTATATTAATTATATATCATACTATAATAGTATAATGCAATGTTATAATGAATTAAGTAATTATAACTAAATCTATAATTTAATATTATAATAATTAAATTTCAAATCATTTGATTAATATACTAATATTTATAATGGAATGTTATAATGATTAAGTAAATATTATAATAATAAGGTATGTTATATTAATTAAATTTTTAATCGTTTAATTAAGTAATGTAATAATTAGTAAATTACTAATGTTTATAATGTAATGTTATAAATTCATAACTATAAGTAATTATGTAATCATTTAACAATGTAATGCTATAATTAAGTAAGTGATCATAATATATAATGTAATATTATATATTATAATTTAATTGAGTAATTATTTAACTATAATGTAATGTTTAATTAATGTTTATAATGAAATGTTTATAAGGTAGTTTATAATTAATTAAATTTCTTATCATTTAATTAAGTATTGAGCTAATGTTTATGTAGTAAATTAGTAATTACTAATGTTTAAAACATAATATCATAACTCATAATCAATTAAGTAATCATTTAATTATGTAATGTTATATTAATTATATGATCATACTATAATAGTATAATGTAATTTTTAATGAATTAAGTAATCATACTATAATCTATATTTAATATTATAATTAATTAAATTTCAAATCATTTGATTAATATACTAATGTTTATAATGGAATGTTATAATTGATTAAGTAATCATATTATAAATATTAAGGTATGTTATAATTAATTAAATTTTTAATCGTTTAATTAGTATGTAATAAATATATAATTAGTAAATACTAATGTTTATAATGTAATGTTATAAATTCATAACTAATTATGTAATTATGTAATCATTTAACTATATAATGCTATAATTAAGTAAGTGATCATAATATATAATGTATATAATAATATTATAATTAATTGAGTAATTATTTAACTAAATGTAATCTTAATTAATGTTTATATAATAATGTAATGTTATGATTAGTTAAATTTCTTATCATTTATAATATTATGCTAATGTTTATATAGTAAATTAGTAATTACAATATTTATAAATAATGACATAATCAATTAGTTTATTTAATTATGTAATGTTTAATTAATTATATAATCATACTGTAATGATGTTATAGTGAATTAACTATTTAGTAATCATACTATAAATTTTTAATGTAATATTATAATTAATTAATTTTTAATCATTTAATTAAGTTTGTACTAATGTTTATAATAAAATGTTATAATTGATTAAGTAATTATACTATAAATCTATACGTAATGCTATAATTAATTAAATTTCTAATTATAAGTCATTAATTAACTATTTAATTATGTTATAACTTATAAGTCAATTAATTAAGTGTATCAATAATTAATGTAATGCTATAATTAATTATACTAAATCAATTAAGTAATGTTTAAAATTATATAATTAAGTAATCATTTAACTATAATGTAATGTTATAATTGATTAAGTATATATTTAGCTAGTAATTAAATTTATTAATGTTTACAATTTATCATTATAATTAATTAATTACTAATTTATTATAGATATACTTAGAACTTGATAATTGAAGTAAATATAATATATTATACTCAATCAAATATACTATTTTATTCAAAAATAATTCTTTTAATAACATTAAAAATGTAAAACACTTTTAATTGGATCATAATTCCATTATTCACTTAATTGATCAAAACTTTAATATTAATGTATTATAATATATTAAAGTTTTTATTGGTGTAATTTATATATAATAGTATTATTGTATTAGTATATTTATTTATTAGTTTATTCTAAAAATTTAACTTTCTTTTTATTTAAATTTTTTTATATGTAAAATATGAAACTCCCCCTTATTTACATTTCACAAATATTTCATTTAGTCCAGGTTCCAAAATAGGTTCTAAACAGGTTCCAAACAGGTTCCAAAACAGGTTCCAAACAGGTTCCAAAACAGGTTCCAAAGCAGTTCAAATAGTTCCAAACAGGTTCTAAACAGGTTCCAAAACAGGTTCCAAACCGGGTACCCCCTACAGGTTCCAACAGGGTACCCTTTTTACAGGTTCTGGTTCCGGTTTCGGTTCCTCCACATGCAACCGGAACCGAACCGCACAGTAGCGGTTCCAAAAATTGGAACCGGAACCTACCCGCACAGTGCAGGTTCTAGGTAGGTTCCAGTTCTGGTTCCGGTTCTTACCCCCGGTTCCGGTTCTACCCGCTACCCGTGCTCACCCCTACTCGTGTGTTGTTTTTTTGTGAAAAGAATATCAATCGAAGCGTAGGGTTTTTCAAATAACAAAGAGCTGGGTCAAGCATATTGAGCCTCTTTCCCATCTCTTCTCAAGAAACAATTAGGTTATTCTTTTTTTTGCAAAACTGTGCTCAATTTCATGCGACAATTCTGTCAAGATCTCTTCTTTAGTTGGAGGAAGAATTCTCATGAATTAGATTTTTTGAGGAATCGTATCAAGAGTTGATTTTTTTTTTTTTTTTTCTTTTTACAAAAATGAGTAGGAAACATTGCGCCTGTCTTTAGGTGATGTAGATATATCACCTCAACAAAATAGTAAAAACCGATAGTATCATAATACACATGAATAATTATTTCTGAATGGTAAAGTGGTTCGATAGAGATTTTTGGGTGTACTACTCAAGGGGTTTTAAGTTCGAGTCCCTTTTCGGTTGCTAATAAAAGTAATTATTGGAGTTCTTAATTAGTCGGTAATTTCAAGATTCCCAAAAATTAGTTGAGGTATAAATAAACTAGTCCGAATACTCCTGATGATTATAAAAAAAATTAATAATAATGCCCATGAATAAATTGCCAAAAACCAAACAATTATACATAAGTTGTATAATACATGCGTCTTGATGTAATACGTTGAGATGGTTTAATTAGTTACTATGTTGATGGTAATTGGATTACAGCTGTTGGGGCATAGAGTGGATTGAGTTGGGCTTGACTTTCTTGAGCATGTTGGGTCTCACTTTCAGCCTATATCTAGGTTGGGCTTGAGTTTCAGCCTATATGTTACCTTAAGAGTAAAACTATAAATCCCAAATTTCACTAATTCCTTCACACCATATACTTGAGCCATAGGATATCATATCAGATTACACCTTAATTGGTAGACAAATAACTGATTTGATGTTATATTATAGAGTATTATTACCCACGCTAGCGCCCACTCTTGGCTAATTAGATGAATTAAAGATAGTTTAAATAATTTTATTGTCTCAGTTTTGATTCTTTATCTAAACATCTAGAGGCCATTACAATTATTTGTTGTTTTAGCTTTTTTTGAGTATTAGTCTAGGTTCTCTCACCACGTATAGAACACTAGAATCAAATTCAAATAAATTCAACTAATTAAGTTTAATTTGCCTCAATAAATCATCACATGAACTAAACACACCAATTATTTAACTAATTAAAACTAAAACAAATCACGAATGTATTCTAATCATCGTCCAGCATATCAATCTGCGTCAACACCTTCGAATGCCCAAGAATTCTCCTCTCGAAGTCTATTCTCTTCTTCCTCCGTAAAATCATTCTCGATTCCGAAGAACTCTCTAACGTACTCCACACTCTTATTCTTGATTCTCTCCGCGACATTATCTTCGGCCAATTCCAGCAAGCTCTTCACGTTCAAATAATTTGCGGCGAGAAGAATTTCCTTCAGCATATCGACACTCTGATGGTTGATAAAATCCCCGTCAAACGCTTTCATCTCTGCCTTTTTCGGCTCATCCGCTTCGTCCTCACGAAACCCTACGTGCTTCTTGCAGTATTTTATGATCTGAGTGAGCGCAGCGGAGGAGACATTGGGAAGTGGCACGATAACGTTAACGTTATCGTCATCATGTTCATTCTCTTCAAAGAAAGTTTTCACTATGCCTAAGCAGTCCATGGCTACCGCCCTTTCGATTTCGAAGAGATGCCCATCTTCCGCCTTTAGGGTTATTTTTTTCTTCCCGAGAGGGAGAGGTTCTTGCGTTGTGGCTTTGCCTTTGTCGACTTGGTTGGCTGCCATTAGAACGAGCGAGTCAAGGTTTTTCAAAGAAAGAGAGAGAGAGAGAGCTAGGGTTTCTGTTGTTAAGTGAATTGAGGAAGAAAGGAATAGGGTTTATATAATTTCAATTATCTTGTAGTTAGAATAAGATTAAGTTTTTATTTTGGATTCAATTACCTTGTTTATATTTCTGAATTAACTTTGAATTAGAATAGGATTAGTTTTTATTTTTGGAGTTAATTACCTTTTTTGGTGACCGGGGTATCCGGGCGTTAATTACCTTTTTTGGTGACCGGGGTATCCGGACGTTAATTACTTTATTTGGTGACCGGAGTATCTAGGTCAGTTTGTGTGCACATCGATTAAAGAGTTAAATACTTTATTTGTGAAGGAGTTTGAAACCTTCTTATTTTCAATTTTACTTGATTGATATGTATACACGTCATTCTTTTATGCAGACATCCTGAGTTTTTTCTAGGAATCGTTAGAAGATTTTCTTTTTTTATATTCATTAATAAAGTTTTGATTGAAATTAATTTTTATCTTTTAGTAAATGCTACATATCAAAATTAATCATATGGTTGGGATTTTTATGGGGTGTATTAAGAGGTTCATGGTGATTTTTGAAATTTTAGATGGATCTATGTCATTAGGTAAAAGTTGAGGGAAGGTAGAAATTTAATGCAATATTCTAAATTCTAAGATAAATCTTAAATCTACAAGATTTGAACAGAGAGGCTTGAGAATCCATTTCATTAATTATATAATCTTCAAACAGCAAGAAAATCTGATATGCTTTCTAAAAACTACAAGTTTAATTATATTATTAATAATACTATTTTTTTTATTTAAAAAATAATAAAATATTGAATGATTTTGAATAATTAGTTTTTATTAAATTTGGATTTTTCCCAAACCCAGTTATTAGATACTGTAATCTGATTTTCTTTTTTTAGAATGAATGAATGAATTATTCATTTTTTCTGCTATAAATATTGCTGTTCTACTGGCCATTAATCCACTCCAATCTTTCATTTGTTTCTAATATTTGTTTATTTATTCATTGTTCTTGGAATGGAGAGAACTCAGTTGCTTCTGCAAATTGCCGCCATGAGACAAGCTCTATTCGATGAGGTTTTTGATGAACCCTAATTTCTTAATTACATATAATGATGTGTAATTACCCATAATTTATTTATTTTTGTAGGGAATTCTGGATAAGCATTTTACTTATCTTGAAAATCTAGAAGAAAATGGTAACCCTAATTTTGTTGAAGATACCACTGGATTATTTTTCAGGGACTCCGCCAACATGCTGGCTACCATTGAGCGGACTTTGTAAGTTTAGAACAATATTTAATTATTTGATTAATTAAATAATTAATCATTTTAATTTCATTTTCTGTGTTTGTGAAGGGAGAATACTCCAGTTGATTTCATGAAGTTGGATAAGTGCTTTTATCAGCTAAAAGGAAGCAGTGGTAGGTAAGTTGAATTAAGAGATAAAAAAATGGTTTAAATTATTAATTAAAGTAATTAAGGTTATTTAATTGCGATTAAGTTATTCTTTATATATATATATTATTCTTTATATATATATGTGCAGCATTGGTGCCATCAGACTGAAGAATGAAGTTAATCGAACGAGAGAATATTGCGAACAAGGGAATTTGGAAGCGTAAGTAATTAGTTCATTAATTAAGAAGTACTTATTTGTATGTATATGGATGATTATGCACTGATTAATTTCATAATTAATATTATTAACAGTGCAAAGGCAGCTTTCCAACAACTGAGAAATGAGCATAACATTCTCAGGGCTAGGCTTGATTCTTACTTACAGTTACTGAGACAAGCTGATTCTTCTTCTGATGAAAGTTAGGCTCAACCAAACTGAAGAAATCAATGAAGCAGCAGTGATTTTGATGGATATTTAGTTGCATAATTAATCACTAAATTTTGTTTTCATTTGTGCTTTGGTCAATTAAGTTTCTTAGTGTTTAAACTTGAATTTCTATTTGGAATAAAGTGTGGTTTGATATCTCTAGCTCCATATATACTCAAAATTAACGGAAACACAATACAACATATACCAATAAATTAAATGTCTAAAAGAGAATAGTGATCGGTAATACTACGCCGACAAACATTTCTTATTAACTTTCTTTTATAAACTCGACGTGATATTACTATACTGATAAACATTTCTCACTAACTTTCTCTCACAAACTCGACGTGACAATTCGTAATTGATTAACTCGTAAAACGGATCATACCTAACCAAATGCGAACTAACTAATTACGAACCACCACTTCAGATTTCTGAAAGGAAGTGAACAAATCCGTCGTCAAAGGCTTTGAGCTTAGAGGCTACGATGGCAACAATAATCCCCTTTGTTTTTGCATTTCGTTGTTAATTAAGAAGAAAGATCGTTGATTTCTTTTAAGAATTTTTTTATGAACTTTTTATACTCAAATTCAGAAGAGTCGTTAGATTAGATTTAGATGAAGGTGGTTAATTTATTTCTCATTTTAAGTCAACAGTTTATGTTATAATAATCTGATCCATAACTATATACAAAAACATAAACGAAGAAACACAACTCCATTAGAATAAAATTCTCACATATATAGATGAAAATCTGGATTTCCGAAATTTATTTAATGTTTTTTATGAACTACCCTGGTGCAATTAAAGCCCCAACTAAAAAAAAAAANCTTGATGATTTAATGGTGTTTTTTTCACCTGAGAGATAGGTGAAAAAACTCTCAAACCTCTGGGCTTTTGGAGGAAGATCCTGAGCTAAATTCCTCACATGAAAACGACAGCCATGTTGGTCTATTAACAATCAAATCCGAGGAAATTTAACTCGTCAAACATCCCAAGTTTGAATTTAAAAAAATGACCCTGAAAAAAGTTTGATTTTTTTTTTTAACTTTAAAAATCTGCCGTGGCACACTTAAGTGTAACTAAACATGCAAAAAGGGGCTAGAGTGAAAAGATTGAAACGCATATGGGTAATAGTAAATTAATGGAAATTTGTTTAAATTTTGGAAATTAAAAAACGACCCCCTCACATTCAAAATCGCTTAATCAAGGTGTCCACCGAAAAAATGACTGACGAAAACACCCCATCTCTCTGTGATTTTTGGCGATTAAATTTCCCTATTTCCAGCCAATATTTGATCTTAAATCTTCGTATCGCTATTAGTTACACAAAAATCATGGCTAATATTAACAAAGAGGAGGAAAACCCAACCCCACTCCAAATCCTAGGGTCCGACGGCGACGGTTGTTCAAAGGTTGTCGAAGAAGACGCTCCAGTGGATCATCCAATGAGTGAAGGTGGTCTAGCAGCAGAGGACATGACAGCGGCACAAGAACAGAGTGGAAAATCCAAAAATGGTTTTGAAGAGGAGGACACCGGCAAGAATTCAGGCGAGGAGGAGGACGCCGATGAACAAAAAAAATACATTTTTTTACCATTTGATGAACAATTTTATTGGTTTGTGAAAATTTGGGGGATATGTAATTGGTTCTAATTGTTACGGTGGTTGTGGCGTTTTGTCGAACAGTTGGCGGACATCAGTGGAGTGGCTTTGTTTAGGTCCCAAAGGATGAGGGAAGCCAATGGAGGTCATGGGAGGTTGTTTGTGAGAGGTTGGAGGGCTGGGAATGGTAGGAGAGGGCAGAATAGAGGGGTTGGGTGTTGCCCTACATATTGCAGGGTCGGCCATGCATAGCTATGCGTGTACAATACCTGTGGTCAGCCCAGTAATATGCAGGGTAGCCCCCAACCCCCCCATTCCACCTCCTCTTGCCATCCTAGCCATCTCCAATCATCAAAATTGCCACAACAACCTCTATAGGGCCTGCATTGGCGGTCCTTTTGAATCCAAAAACACTTGCACCCCGATGCCCTCGAAGCCCATATCCCCCAAATTGGCAGCCTATTGGTTGTTTTGTTTTGTTTTTTTGTTGATATTTAGTTTATATCGACTGTGCAGATTTTTCGAAGCGTAAATTATAAAGAATATGGGTTGGAGGTTGTAATTGATAAGAGAGGTACCATACTTCCCCGTAAGGGTGACGGTTAGGTCAAGTTGGCAAGTGTTTATGAGAATAAAGGATATTTTAGGTCAACAAAAGAGGGGTATGGACCGATTCAAAGATTGTTGTTTCGGTCATTTCGCGGACATAGGAGACAATTGGAATAAGGCGTTTTGGGGCAGGTAGCACATTATATGTTGCTGCACTCAGTTAAAAGCGAAAAAAAAAAAAAAAAAGAAAAAAAAAGAAAGAAAGAAATGTGGTTCATTGTGGATGGGAGGCCACTACATTTTCGGATGCTAGAATTTGCCTTGATGATAGGCCTAAGTGTGGGGCATTTCCAAAAACGGAAGAGCAAGAGAGAATAACAAAGAGTAGGGCAGCCGAAAACTTGGTTAAAAAGATTTTGGGGGGAGGGCAAGTGTCTATTATGGGATGTGATTTAGAGTAGAGGTTAGGAGAAGATGGGTATACCTCTTTGGAGAAGTTTAAGATATGCCTAGTATGGTTCGTGCATTCCATCCTAATGGCTTGTGACTCAACGAAAGCCATTAATATGGATTGGGTGCGGTTTGCAAGCAACCTGGAGTTCTTTAATGCTTATTTGTGGGGAAAGTTATCATTTCAGCTAACCATTGAGTCCCTATGTGGAAAAGACATGGCGATAAAGCACTGCCAATATGTCGAGAAGGACAGACCGAGCACTTACAATTTGTTTGACTTCTTGTGGGCAATGTAGGTAAATATTAATAGCTTTTTGTTATATATATATATTTTTTTGTATTATATATGTTTTATTTATGATATGGACTGTTTTTTTACAATGTAGGCTTGGATGTATGAGGTTGTCCTTGTCTTGGCTAAGGCCGAGGAGGAGGGGGGGACGGGACTTCGGATAAGCCACCATAATTTTCTAGGATGTCTCAGTGTGCCCATTGGGACTATGAAAAAATAGAAATGGAAATTCAAGCAACTCGGGTAAGATTAAAGGATTAATCTTTTGAATATGCACTTGCTTTTAAATATGGCTTAAATTTAATTGATTTTTTTTCTTATTGCAAGGAGTCGATCATCTTTTCCTCATCCCTACTAGGGGTGAATTAGGAGAGGAGTAGGTTACATCGTTCATAACACTGGATGATGTAGTAGATGAACGGATATACTTCATAATGCGGGACCTAGAAGGGGTCATGCATGTGAGTGTAGCTATAGGGTCACTGCTTGAGCATGTGTTTGATGCCGATGAGGATGAAGCTTCAGTCGGTGGGAGAGAGGAGGAGGAGGATGAAGAGGTTCGTATGCCTCCACCCAATCGACAAACCAGTACAATAAGTACCGATTTGTCGAGGCATCGGTGTCAGGAGAATGAGGTGGTTGACTTCATAAACGGTCTCTTTGACATGTTTACAACTGCCGTTTATGAAAGGTTTGAGAAGATGGAAGACTGGATGAAAATGGTAGAGAAAAAAGTTGATAGGGTGGCGGAGAAAGTTGGTGGGGTATTAAAAGTGGTTGAAGTGCAACCTCAGCATAGAAAAGAAAGCCGAAAGAGTAAGCACGCAAAATCTCCTTACACGGCAGTAACGTATGGAAAGAAGAGGAGAATGAAGAAAAAATGAGGAAGTCTGTGAAAGTGGAGAAGCAAAAATGAAGGAGGTTAAGGAGGAAGGCAGAGGAAGTGGAAAAGTGAAAATGGAGGAGGGTGAGGAGGAACACAGAGGAAGTTGGGAAGTGAAAATAGAGGAGGGTGAGGAGGAACGCGGAGGAAGTGGGGAAGTGAAAACGGAGGAGTTAAATGTTGATTTGTATAGATCAATAGATGAGGAAAAGAAAAAACTATTCTATGCCTATTACAATAAGAAAGGAAGTAATGGTTTTATGAAGTGTAAGACTGGGGATTATCTCCGGGAGTGGTTTGAAAAGATGTTGATAATGGGCAAGTGGCTAGATCACTCGGTGAGTTATTTTCCCATATTTTTCCGTATTTTTGCTTATGTTTTCTATGAGGTATTGTATACTGAATCGTTTAAGCGATCTATTTTTTTTTTTTTGAAGAGGTCGCTTAAACAATTTGTTTTGTTTTAACAGATCACTTAAGCGATCTCTTAAAACAAAACAGATTGCCTAAGGAAAAACCGTTCTATGGTGTTTGAATAGACACTTATCATGTCATTTTGATTTGATGCAGTACATTGATGAGGTATTGACACTTATGAGGTTGCGACAGATCAATAATGGTGATAATTTGTATCTACATTGTGCCATCACTGATGTGGCCTTTGGCCAAAGCCTAGTAAGTACATATGACACGTTAATGAAAAAGACCAATGGTGGAGGTGCAACAAGGGGAGACAAGCGAAAAAGAATGGCCACAGAAAACTTCAACGGTGTCCTTGATGATTTTCGGTTTGATGAGAGGATGATGCAGTATGTACGGGGGGAAATGCCCAAATATGGCAACAGTTGGACAAACATGAAAAGAGTATACTGCACCGTGAACATCAAAGATATGCATTGGATAACCATCGTTTGGCTACTGGAGGAGGGCTTGCTGCAGATCCTTGATTGCAACCTGAGTATTTGTCAGAAGAGGTAGTTGGACACGGAGATGCATTCATTGTGTACATTGGTTCCACGACTGTTGCGAGATAGCTGGATGTTTCAGCACTTGGGTGAAGAACTACTAATGAGAAAGTGGCTACATAAGCGTGTTCCCGTCCTGACAAATGATGCGAGGTAAATTTTGTATAAAACTTACATAATACAATTGTTCTATAAGCTAATTCTAATGCTAATGTCTTCCTCCTATTGTAGGCTAATTACGGGGCATA